TGCTTTCAACTGCAAACTAACTGATTGAAAATTTATTTTTATCAAATTATAATGCGGTTCAGTTTGTCATATTCTTATACAGCATGATGCTGCATGCCGAGTGATTGCTAGACTTAAAAAGGAAAGGGATGAAGCTAGGTCTTTTCTTGCACAGGCTGAGAGGCAGCCCCCTTGTCAGCATCAGCAGCTACTGCCAATGTTTCTGCTTTTAGTAATGGAAAGTGAGGTTCTTCCTCAGTAAGCTTTTGATTCGTATTATATATCTTTTAGCTAATTCTGTATCTTATCTGAGAATTATGTCTGTGATCATAACTCCCGAGGATGAAGATATGGGCCCTGGTTCAAAGCGAATACGCTCTGGGGTTTCTGAGAGTATTATTGCAGAGTTAACAGAATGTAATGCAGCTCTCTCACAACAGCGTAAAAAGCGTCAGGTACTCTTCATTCTGTTTAGTTTATGTCTTTGTTGACAATATCTTTGTATTGTCCAATTTCTTGCATGTGTTTTCTTTTTAGACACCTCCAGGCTCCAACATTGGCTCCCATTGATGCTTTGGAGAGGTATACCCAACTTTCTAGCCGTCCTCTTCACAAGAAAAAAAAACCAGGGATCATTTCAATTGATATCAATCTTTCAAAGGTGTGTGTTTCCTTTAAGATAATCCTTTTCAGAAAACTATATTCATTCCTACATTTTTCTAGGATGGAGGTAGTTATATTTGGATGTTGCCTGTAGTGGGCATGAGATATGGCTGCCAAAATTAAGGTAATGGGAAACGAATCTGTAAGAATCAAGGTTGGAATGTTAAGTTTGGGAATAATGTTAAAGAAATTATCAAGATGATTGGTACTCTACTGACTGCATTCTTCTGCTTTTGGAGGAGTGTGAATTGCCTATTGGATGAACTAGTGCATATGTTAGTTATAGAAATATGTTTTATATATATCTATGTTAAACGTAATTGGAATAGCATCTACTTTTTCTTACTTTTTTTTAATTCTCTATTCTTCAAAGCTTGTTTATTTACTTTCTTTTAAATCTTATGTTAAATGTAACTGGAAGAGCCTCTGCATTTTATGTTTCTCTACTCTTCGAAGCTGGTTCATTTATGTTCTTTTACATTTGATATTTAAGACATTGTTGCCACAGGAGGAATTGATTCAAGTGCTGTAATCTTTGACCGAACATCTGGAGTGATCTTATCAACACTAAGTGGCCACTCCAAGAAGGTTTACTCAGTTTCTTACTTTCTTTTAGATGTTTAAGTGTTGGTATTTTCATTTTTCTTTTGAAATATATTCTCCAACTCCATTCTTTTGTAGTTTGCAAGTGTAAAATTTGTAGCTCCGAGCAATGTGATTTTAAGTGGATCAGCAGATAAGGCAAGACAATTTTCCAAGTCTCACAAGTTCCAGTTTTGTTCCTATTTTTTGATCCTTAGGTTTTTTCCTTCTTTATTTATTTCTTATTAGCTGGCATAACTTAATACACTTTGATTTTTAACCTTAATTAACTATTACTTTTCTTAAAAAAAATCTTTTTAGCTTGCATCAGAATTTGATTGGTCTTTCAATATTTTCAGACTGTACGCATTTGGCAAGGGTCTGAAGATGGAAACTATGATTGCAAGCATATTTTTAAGGATCATACTGCCGAGGTACATATATATTCTCGAATCTTAATATTCTGAAATACTATGATTATCAAAGTCTTATTCTTATTTGTTTGCTGTCTTGTGGACATGAGAATAAATCTATCTTCTACTCTTTCAGGTGCTAGCTGTCACAGTCCATGCCACAAATAACTACTTTGTAACTGCTTCCCTTGACTCGTGGTGGTGCTTTTATGATATTTCCTCTGGCATATGCTTGACACAGGTCCTAATCCATTTCGCTATCCCTCTGATCTGTAAGGTTTTCCGTTAAAGTGAACAATGCATTTTTTCTTGTGAAGTGAATGGATTAATTGAAAGTAACTTATATTAGTATTTGAATCTTTTAAATGCTGTGTTCGAGCATGTTTTAAATTTCCGCTGATTGTCTCTATTACTTTCACTGGAAATATGTAGTTACATTACTAATAGAGGTGATGATAAAATGATTTTTTCCCCTTGATATTTTTCCCATTTATTTTGAAGTGAAAATCCATTAATATGAGTCAGATTTCTGTTCTACAGGTTGAAGACCCTTCAAATTCCATGGGCTATGCATCTGCTGCTTTTCATCCTGATGGTCTCATCCTTGGAACAGGCACCACAGAATCTACTATTAGAATTTGGGATGTGAAGAGTCGGGTATATAGAAAACTACATTATGAGACCTGAACTTAATGTTTTCAGATGATGCATTTGCCTTGCATTTTATAAACAACCATTTTATTACCCTTCAGGGAAATGTTGCCAACTTTGATGGACACACTGGGGCAGTAACAGCCATGTCTTTCTAGGAAAATGGTTACTTCCTTGCAGTAAGCACTTGGTCAAATGTGCATTTTTAGTTTGATGGTCATGCATTCTGCAATCTGATTTATGTTTGAACTCCAGACTGCAGCACATGAAGGTGTTATGGGTTCTGCGCAAATTAAAGAACTTCCGGTCATTTGAATTATATGATCAAGATACACCAACAAACTCTGGTATGTAGTATCTAGATAACGGATGTGCCTGGCTATTAATTTGATTGTCTCCTATTGGCTCCCTCTAAGGAACAAGCAATATCTTGATTTTTTTTGGCTTCTCAAATTGGTAGCTTTCGAGCTAACGAGCAAAACTTGTAATCAAAGTTTTTAATCATGAAAAGCTTTATCTAACAGCAGGCTTAATTCTGTTTATTTTTTCAGTGGATTTCGACCATAGTGGGAGTTACCTTGCAATTGCTGGCTCGGATGTAAGGTAGGCGCACTTAGGGTCTCCAAATCATGGTATATAGTTATGTGGACTGAAAAATTCAATGTAGAAGACGGTTGTATGCTTATATAGAATGCTTAGAAATTTGGCTGGAGATTTTTCTGAAAATGTTGTTGGTTGCCTCATAACTAAAGTTTCAAAGAACAAGCTTAGTGGACTTGTCACAAATCTTATCTCCACCCTTTCTCCGTAGTCGTAAAATTTCATCTTTCTTGAATATTATTTCAAATTTCTTGTAATATTCAGTGATACTAATTTAATTCTGTATTTCCAGAATCTACCAAGTCGGCAGTGTCAAAGCCGATTGGAATTGCATCAAAACATTACCTGATTTATCTGGCACTGGTTTGTTTTCTTTTCCTTCATTCTATCATTGAATAAAAAAACAAACTCCACCAGCCGGCTTGACGGGTGGAACCAGGAACCATAGTTTGTCTTGTACAGAAACTATATAAGGATCAGATAATAATTTATGCATTTTTGGTCGGTTCGACCTCTGGTCTGTTTTTTTAACTGCACTCTGTTGTCATTACTGATTGCTAGCTGAGGATGGAAATGCATTATTCTCCTGTATTTGCAGGTAAAGCAACTTGTGTCAAATTCGGTTCAGATGCAAAATACTTGGCAGTGGGATCAAAGGATCGTAGTAACCTACTCATATTTTGGCCTTCCAGAAGAAGACGCTTCAATGGATTCTTAAAACGCTCCTTCTGTTCAAGCTTATTCGATGTCAGCTGTTAAGTCACTCCACAATTGCTAATCCTGGCCGTCATATTTCGTGGTCGACAAGAAGTAAAACTTGCTGTTCGAATCTTCAGTTTAGTTCTTCTGCTCCCAAAATACATTTGAGGCTTAGGGCAAATGATGTCTGCCAGTTTTGGCCAGTCTTCCAGCAATGTATGTGCCTTCGTATGAGTCAAGAAATGAAAAACAGATCACTTTTATCAAAGAGACATTAATGGATATTCATTTATAACTCTATTTTTTTGGTTACGATATCTGATTCAGATTACAATAAAGGAAAACACAAATGCAGATAACACAAAAATATAATAAACTATTTTCTAATTTAATTGATCTAGAGGAATGGAATATTGGATTCATCCAATAAAGATTTGAGTTTTTGATATTGTAAATAAAGTAAACGATATTAGTGAAGTTATCTTCATAGTATACTTTTGACAATATTCGATTTAGATAAAGGGTAAGGTATACAAATGATCTCCGACCAATAATTATAGGATGAGACTTTGTTGAGTTTATCGACTATTAAAAGTTATAAAATGATCATTTGATTATAGGGCGTTGCTTGGTTTAGTCCTCCGATTATTAAAAGTTACAAAATAGTCCTCGATTATTAAGTATGTTCCAAACTCGTCTTTTTTTCGTTAGGAAATTGACAGCAGCCTGAGCTGGATGTTAACTTGATGACTGAGATATGATAAAATTTGATCACATAATCTAAAAAAGCTGTCATATCTCTATCAACAAGTTAAAATCCAACTCAGATTGTTGTCAAATTTTTAACGAAAAAAGGACGAGTTTGGAACATACTAAATAGTCGGGGGAACTCAACAAAGCAACATTTTATAGTTGAATGACCATTTTATAACTTTTAATAGTCGAGAGACTCAACAAAATATCGTCATATAGTTGAGGGACTGTTTGTGTACTTTACCCTTAGATAAATAGATCATTATTATTTAAAAAGTAATAAATTACGGGATCTTCAAAGAGCCTCTGCTCAAAATCTGAAGTCCTATTTTAAAATTTTAATTTTAATTAGCGACAACAAGTAAGAAAAAGATTACAAACTACGGTTTCATCTCTATGACCGCACATAGTTGATTCTCTATTTTCTTAAATTTTTCTTGTTATTTTTTTTTCTGTTTTCCCGTACGCTATTCGTCGTGGAAATCCACCGAAATGGTACTCTTTCGACGCTATAACATCATCGTGGAAAACCATATGAAGTGGGTACTTGGTCGTTAATATTGAATTATATAACCGTATAAAATTCAATATTAACGACGAAAGAAGGTGAGAAACAGCGACGATAATAAATTAATACCTTTCATTATACAGTAGCGGTTTCTTTATTCTCCTACTTGTTCGTCGCTAAAAGTATGGATGTTTCGACACCATTCCGGCTATTGGAACTGAATCTGATATCTGCTCAAGATTTGGAACCCATAGTTCGTCGCAGGATGAAGACATATGCGGTGGCTTGGGTCAACCCGAAACGCAAGCTCACGACCCGAATCGACACCGAAGGCCACACCAACCCGACGTCGAACGATAAGTTCATTTTCCGCGTCGACGACGAGTTCTTATCCAGTGATACGTCCGCCGTCCATTAGTTCCGTGATATCCACGTCGGGACAGTTCGAGTCATCATCGGGAATCTCTTAAAGACGTCGTCCAGACACCAATGCCGTGAATTTGAGCTAGGGATGAGGTTCGTCGCGCTTCAGGTCAGGCGACCGTCGGGTAGGCCCCAAGGGATTTTAAACATCGGGTTGACGTTGCTCGATGGTTCGAGGAGGAGCATGCCGTTGTATATGCAAATGGGTTCATCGGCGGCCGGGTACCAATATTTTATGGGCGAAGACGAGCCGATTCAAAGTAGTGATCGGGTGATCGGAGCAACAACAACCAATTTTCAAATATTGAATCAATCAAACACGAGCTTCGAAGAACCATGAGCGATTCGAGTTCGATGTTGGGGTCTCAATATGTGCCGATGATCTCCTTTAAAGGATCGTCCATTTTCAACACCGGCGAAGGCAGCGACGGGTCGGACAGAAACGAATACAAGATCAAATCAAGGGGGAGTTCAATGGTGAATTACAAGTTTGAGAATAGTACTAACATAAAAGGAAAATCAAGCTCGATAATATACGGGTCAAGCGGGTTAACATTTAGCGGCTTTGATCACAGGGCTCCAAAGTTAGATTCGGATTTGGGTCCGTCGCCATCGGAAGTTGCGGCCGCCGTCGCCAAGATCAAGAACCAAAACAAAATGGACGACGCAGAGAGTTCGTTGGTCGGAGTTGGAGTTTAGACGAGAGCATGGAAGGGATAGTTTCGAAGCCAGAGAGGTGAATGGTGGAACTCCCGCCTATGTACGACCACGACGGCGATAGCGACGGTAGTAGAGTTTATTCTAGTATTCTGGGGAAGGTTTTGACGGCGCCGAACAAAAAACAAAACACACCCGAAGACGAACTTCGCCGGGATTGTTTTCGTGCTTTGGTATCATTTGTGGCCATGAAATTTCCATAAAATGCAGTGCAGCTGGTGGTGGTGGCGGAGCAAGTACAGGGAAAAAAGAAAAATTTGCACCAAGCCCCTTCAGAGGGTATCTTGAGTTTGCTTTGAAATCGATAAAAATTGTACTTAATTCAAAAGAATTTTTTTTTGTTTTTTTCTTTTAAAGTATAATTTTCTAAATTATTGTTAGATTTACAAATATCTTTCTTTTGATCGTCTGTGTTCTAAAAGAATCATTGTCCGTATCAATTATTTTAAATTACGTGTTATAGACCTATAAAATTATTTTTTTTAATTATTTTTTTAAAAGATTATATAAAAAATAATTGAGTTCCAAAGTCGATTATATATTAAAAATGTGAAAATTTATAGAAGAGAAAATAACCCCAGTGACAAAAAATGCCTTATAATATACGATTTTAATCAATTTTTTTTGGATTTGCCAAAATGACCCACTAAATCGCAATGCGATCGATAATTCGCAACGCGATCTCCGGTATCGCAAATCAGTTTCTAGATTCGCAATGCGATTCTGACTATCGCATTGCGATTTTCCTAATTCGCAATGCAAATACGTAAATCGCAATGCGAATACGTAAATCGCAATGCGAATCTGACTATCGCAATGCGATTTACATAGTGCCATTCGTATCGCAACGCGTATTTTTTTTTTCAAATTCCAAACATGAATATATTAATATATCGGAACACTGAACCGTCCACAGTATATCCCGTAATCGCAACTCATAACCTAAAACCCTAAATCACAACTCAGTCTCATCTCCATCTCTCACTCTCTAAGGCGACATCCGTCCCCATCTCCGACGAAATCAGTCCCCATCTCCGACGATATCAGTCTCCATCTCCGGCGAAATCATTCACGGTCAGAAATAGAAAATCAACCAAATCAACCACCGAGGGTTAGTTTTTTTAATTATTTTTATTTTGAAATTTTTGCATTATTATTAGGTTTTTCATATTGAAATTGATGATAAGTTTATTGGTGTTTTCAATAATAGATTAACCATTTCACTTAAATTGCTTATTAAATTCATTCGATTTCTGCCAATACTGCTAAACTGTTTAGTCTTTAACCCTGTGAAGTTAGTATTTGTCTTTGTTTTATCTTTTGGTTGAAGTAATGCAATCCATTCAAGTTTCTTTCAATTTTAGTATTTGAAAACGAGAATGACTATCGCAATGCGATTCTGTCGTTGCGATTTTCATTTCGCGTTGCGATTCTTGTGTTGCGATAGTCAAATTCGCGTTGCGATTTTCGTGTTGCGATTTTCATTTCGCGTTGCGATAGTCAAATTCGCGTTGCGATAGCCATTTTCGTGTTGCGATTTTCATTTTCGTGTTGCGATTTTAAGTTTCAGAAACTATTCTTCTTCTGCAAATTGAAACTTGAATGAATTGTATTACTTCAACCAAAAAACAAAGACAAGTACTAAATTCACAGTGTTGCAAATTTAAGTTTGAAGAATAAACTACTACTCTTTATGTTTATTGTTCTTGTTATATCTTCATAGTGTAGTTTTTGGTATATCTAACTTGGTATGTTTATTGTTTTTGCAGAACTTTTATTCGGCTCAATTGACCTTAAGAAATAAAGTAAGCCTGGCCAAAACAATTGGGTTGAAGCTTTCACCTGCACAAAGAAAAATATTTGAGGATACTTGCTTCGGGCCATGGCTGAAAGTACAACATCCGGGTGGAGATGCTATGTTGATCCATCTGTTTCTTCAAACCATTATTAGCGATCTACCAGAGACTATACAACGTCATGATGAAGAGATATGGTATGATTTTCCACCGGCGTATACGTGTTTTGGGCGGGAGGAGTTTTGCTTAATCACCGGTCTACGCTTCGGACACGATGATGTAGATCGGTACACTAGACATATTACCCGCCTATCATGGTTTTCCCAGGTTTTCCCTGAGCTGTCAACGGAGAAGCCGAATTTACACGTGGAATACTTGACGAGATTATTGAATAAGAAATATGGTTTTACTCGGATGGATGACGTCGATGTTGTCCGAGTATGCCTTCTAATACTTTTGCAAGCCGGCTTTTTAGGCAGAGAGGCCCGACAACCTATTCCTAATGATATAATTAAATTGGTAGAGGACCTAAATGCATGGAACCTGTTTCCGTGGGGTTCGTATCTATGGAAAGCTACATGGAATAAGTTGTCGTCTGCCTTTGATGATCGAAAAAGTTTACGTGGCGATGGTTCCAAATACACTTTGTCAGGCTTTATTTGGGCCTTTAAGGTAATAATTTTTATATAATGTTTCCAAAATTATAATTAATTCTTTAACAATTACTAATGTTTGTTATTATATTGTTTGTAGATTTGGATATTTGAGGCCTTTCCCGCCATGCAGACATATGCATTAAAAACTTCTAATGATATTCCTAGGGCTATTTCCTGGAAGAGGAAACGGTCCTTGCAGCAATGGGAAGATTTACTACCGTATACTACAATAAATAATGTAAGTTAACACAAATACTACCATATGTTTATAAACAAGTTATTACTAGTACACGTTTAACTTTGTTTGAGCTTTTATATTGTTAGGAGGCCAACACTCCATTACAGAGGCTGACACCCACGGAAGCTGATCTTGCCACTGATTGGTGGCAAGTTAATAAGCGTTTTTTTGATGGCACAGATGATGAGCAGCCACCACTTCGACAGCCATCACCTCACCCAGAGCCATCACCTGATCGACCCGAATATACACCTCCACAACGAGAGTCATCACCTATTCTGTCACATCATTGAGCCTCTTCTCCACCATCACCTCATGATAGGCGACCGACAAAGATGCCACGACGTTTATCTCTCTATCCTCCACCTCTACCTCCACGGGATGAGTTAGGGGAGTTACGTAATGAGGTCAATGCCTTGCGTGAGGAGGTCGGTACTTTACGCGATGACAATGGTGCATGTCGTGTTAAGGTGCCTACTTTACGTGGTGAGGTAGCAGCTCTACGTGAGATTGTAGAATCGTTGCAGAACGAGGTTCATACTCTACGCAACGAGGTAAGTTTAATATTTTTCATATTTAACTTGATGATAAATTTACTCGTAATTTCACTTAGATTGCTTAGTAAATTCATTCGGTTGCTGCCAATACTGTTTAACTGTTTATTCTTTAACCCTGTGAAGTTAGTATTTGTTTTTGGGTGTCTTTTGGTTGAAGTAATGCAATCCATTCAAGTTTTAATTTGCAGAAGAAGAATAGTTTACTATCGCAATGCGAAAATGACTATCGCAACGCGAAAATGACTATCGCAACGAGAGAATCGCAATGCGAAATGAAAACCGCAACAACAAAACCGCAACGCGAAAATGACTATCGCAATGCGAATTTGACTATCGCAACGAAAGAATCGTAATGAGAAATGAAAATCGCATTGCGATTCTCTCGTTGCGATAGTCAAATTCGCATTGCGATAGTCAAATTCGCATTGCGATAGTCATTTTCGCGTTGCGATTTTAAGTTTCAGATTCTATTCTTTTTCTGCAAATTGAAACTTGAATGAATTGCATTACTTCAACCAAAAGACAAATAATAACTTCACAGTGTTGAAAATTTAAGTTTCAAGAATAAACTACTACTCTTTATGTTGTCATTGAACCTGCACTAAACCTATATGTTGTCCTTTTAAATGTTTATATAAGTGCTTACTTCTGGAATGTTATCTGATGCATTTTGTGAACAATGATATAATAATGACTTGGGTGAATACCGTGCAAGTTTGAAATACATTTGTCTTTGTTTTCACTGTTTAATATCATGTCTGTTTATTTACTAATTTATGTATTAATTTATTTTTAGCGGCCCGCTATGGTGGATGCTCTACGTCGGGTTTTTCTAGCAAGTCGGAGTTCACGCATCAGACGGCGTGCACGTGCCATTACGGCGTGCACGTGCCATTACGTCTCCATTCACCCCAATAGTACGAAGAATCCGTAAGAAAAAGCCCGATTCACCTGTCATCATTCAAGAGGCCTCCCCTATCGTTCAAGAGGCCCCTATCATTTCTTAAGAGTCCCCTCCCACCGTTCAAGAGGCCACTGTCATCGTTGAAGAGGTCCCTCCCAACATTCTAGATCCCGATTCACACGGCGTAATATATCGAATTATTGAGAAGCCCCCTCACGTGTCGGACATGATGGATGACTGTTGGCTTTCGTATAAGTTACCGGCCAGTACCATTCCGGTAGATGAAGTGGAGAGGAAACAACTACCGGAAACAATTCTGGATAATACCCTTTGGGCTAAGACCACAGTTGATTTTTATCTACATGAGCGGAGCCAAGGGTGTTACGCTGACATATACAAACTCAACGATGATATGCATTTGTTGATTGAATGGTCTTGGTGGGGTGTATTATTAGGGGTTGAAGACAATGGCTATTTTGATGGGGGGTAAGTCTTATATTTCAGTTTGATTAATTTTTTTTAAAATTTATGTAATTCACTAATATATGTCTTTTTTTGTAAAACAACATATTGATGCATGGGTGACACGTCTTCTAATTGTAAGGAAATTGAAGAAAAATATAAAAAAAACGCG